TGTACATGCATGTTCTGCACGCTTTGGCGCTGGCACCTGATAATGTGGGCAGCCTTCCGTGCGTCTGACGATGTAACAGCTCTTTGTCTACTTCTTCTTTCTCTTTTTTTTTTTCTCTCCGTCCCTTGACTTGCTGCTTACGGGTCAGGCTGAATGGTCAGTTGATTCGTGAACCAAAAGCCCGCACTTGCATTTGGAAGTGTTCTTGCCACCTCGAAGTTGAGGGAAGGCCATCGCCAATGGTCGGTTGGGCCTACATTCCTGCAAAGGACTTGCGTACATGCAACGTGCATGATTACAGTCAATGCTTTTCTGTTTCGGCGCGGGACAGTCAGTGAGCGGCACTACTGGATGGGGAAACTCTGATCTGTTGCTCATTCTGTCCGGCTTGCAACACGCAAACAGGTCTGTTCTGGTTGGTCGAGACCCGAATCAAAAAGATGGGAAATTGTTGCTTTTTCTGCATCGACTGGTATGCAGTACTGTCGTACCAACCGCCTAACGGTTCAATGAATGAGGTCCCTTGATCAACCGCTGACATGATTTGACACGGTTATCACGACGTCGAGTGGCTCTTCTCTGGTTAATGGGACGACCTGTGTCTTTGCCTCATGAGAATAAGCCCATGGTAAAACCGAGAGATATTCTGATATTGTCCCGGCGTTTGACCAATGACACTGCCGTCGGTCCAATTGGTGATGTGGGAATTCGTGCCCTAAGGGAGGAGGGGTTCTGGGGCTTGGGCAGCGCAGCGGAGACGAGACAGTTGTCTCCCTACATGCGAAGCCGTGCCCGTGAACTTGGTCATTGTCTCAATATTCCCAGTGCGCTGCCGTCCAGTTCGTGCCCCAGACCGGCGGCAGGCTCGAGACGCTGTGTCCTTGGGGCTGCAAGGGCCCGTTCCCTGCATCCGGGTGTGAGGCCGCGGGGTGTGTGCCTCGTGCGTGTGCCCGTGCCGGCTCTGCTGGCGTTGACGGTGGCGCCGGCGTCGTATGTCAAGCATTGTGATCTTGGTGGCCGCTGTCGGATCTAGAGGAAGCAATTCCTAGTGCCCGCCGCTGGCACACCATTCCCACACATGCGAGCAAGCCGTCCTGGCACTTGGTGACGGCGTCCCAGAGCTGCACACGTCACGAACGGGGCGGGTGGACGTCTCCAGGCGAGGCCCAGGGCCCGTTCGGAGCACCTTGGCTGCTGTCAAGTGCGAATAGCGCCGCGTCCAGGACTCGCCAAGGGCCGTCGGGCTACTGCGACTGGTAAACGGCACAATGGGACGGGCCTTCACCGCATGTCCCGCTCGACGCTGCCGGCGGCTGCCTCCACCTCCGGCGGCCACGTCAGAAGCCCAATGGGACATGATCACGTCCCGCAGCCTCGTGCGTGGTTACGCAGTAGTCCTCGTAGGGCAGGCCGGAAGGCCGGCGGGCTGCGCTCACCGAGTTGTTACGCTCTTTCGGCGCCGGGGCCCGCTTTTAGGCCTTCGAGCAGCGCTGGCCAATCGGCTCGCGGCTGGCGGGGCCGGCCGTGCTACTGCGCCAGGTCCCAACCACCCGCTTTAACGCTGCTGGGTACTTTGGCCATTTTGTGCGCGCCAGCTGCCAACTCACGCCCTCACCAGCGGCACGTTGACCGCCAAAAGCGAGCGCTTCGTGGGGATGCAGAAGAAGAGGAAGACGAAGAGAGGACAGGCGACTGACAGCGCGCTAACACCGATGCTTGCATATGCATTATGCGAAGAATGAGGAAAAGTGTGAAAGAGAGAAGAGAAAATGAAAATAAAAAATCAAAACAGAATTATTTTCAAATACTACTAAATTAACCGCAAGGAAAGAAGCAAAGCTGAATGAGAGAGGGCGGTGGGGTCACTGATGCGAGGGAGTAACTGCCCGACCGCACCTGCCAGTGTGTGTGTGTCTCTGCTATTATTATTATTCAGGTACTTGCGAAAGGCGAGAGGCGGAAGGAGAGACGAAGAAGAGGAGGGAAGATGCCAGAGAACACGAAAGACGGCAGCTGCCATCCGTAAGAGGTGTTCTTCTCGTACTCCTGCTACGCGCCTGCCTTGGCAGAATGGCCTCGATGACGAAAACGAGCACAATTGGCAACTCGAGTGGCTGGGAAGGTGCAGAGCCCCCGCTTATAACCAGCCATTTGCTCGGAGCCTGCGCCTTTGCACCTTTCTGGCTCCCTCTTGCAAAAATCCTCCATTTTGAACGAGTATTCGCTGTATCACTGCAGTATCTCTTATCCTCTCCAGTTGTCCCTCCCTCTATCGGACGTTGGAATGCTGAGAGTATAGCCTAAAGCGGCTTCAAGTCACGGGCATCCCTTGCGTCCTTTTCCGATCACTTGCCGCTGCCTTTGCGGTGTTAATTTGGCTAAATAAAGGTCGAGCCAGCTACTGCAGGTGATAGCAGCAACACCAAACTTGAGCTCCAACGCCCTCTCAGGCCGTCTCGCAGAGTTGCGTCCAATATCACATTGGAGTCTCTCCTTGCGTGGCGCTAGGATTGGCCTTTTGCCGCACCGGCTGCAAGAAGCTGCATACTATCACTTGCAGCAACCCGTTCCTCTCCCTCACATCTCTCTTTCTTGGTTGCTCACATCCCGTCACTCTCTTGCTGCTTCTCCTTGCAGCCATGAGACGTGTGGCGAGCATCGCCCGCGCGGCTATGGCTGCACTGGCGTTGCCCAGAGCTGTTCTGGCGCAGACCTGGAGCCAGTGTAACCCGCTAACATCCTGTAAGTTGATCTGTCGCCTGTTGCTCTGACTTGGAATTCGCTGGCTAACTGCAACAGCGGGATGTCCTGCGGACCAGGCACTGGGCATGACTATCAATGTGGACTTTACCAAGGGCGCCGTCAACTCCTTTGTTGCTTCTGGCTCGCCAACGTATGACAGCAACGGCGTCTCATTTACCGTGGCCCGCAGTGGTGACGCTCCACAGCTCGCATCCGTGTTTTACATCATGTTTGGCCGAGTTGAAGTCACGATGAAGGCGGCCCCTGGAGCGGGCATAGTCTCGTCATTGGTGTTGCAGTCCGATGATCTCGATGAGATCGATCTGGAATGGCTCGGTGCTGAGCCTGACCAGGTCCAGTCCAACTACTTTGGCAAGGGCCAGACGACGACGTACAACCGCGGACAGTTTCACAGCGTCTCGGGTACCCAGTCAGACTGGATCAAGTACACCATAGACTGGACCCAGGACAGAATCATCTGGTCGGCGGGCGACTCTGTGCTGCGCACTCTGACCCCAGATACTGCTGAGGCGAATCAGTACCCGCAGACTCCGATGCAGATCAAGTTTGGTTCCTGGTCTGGTGGTGATCCAAGCACCAATGCTCCTGGCACCGTGAAATGGGCCATGGGGCCGACTGATTACAGCAAGGGGCCCTTTAGCATGATGGTCCAGAGCATCACCGTCTCGGATTACTCGACTGGCAAGCAGTATGTCTATGGCGACACCTCTGGCTCGTGGCAGTCGATTCAAGCCGTGGGTGGCCAGGTCAACGGCAACAGCGGCAACACCAACAACGACAATACTCCCACAGTTACGGCTAGTAATGCCGCCGGCAGCAGCCCGACGATCGTCCTGTCTATTCCCCTTGGTGGCCTTGCCACGGATAAAAGCCCGGCTACAGCCACACAGACTGGCTGGCCGTGGGTTGCAGGCGCCACCCCGACGTCTGGAACCATACCCAGCGGTTGGCATATGAACCCCGACGGCAAGATTGCGCGCAACGCTGGGGCAGCGTCGGACGTGCCTGTGCAGACGCTGTTGGTGATTTTGACGAGCCACTTGATGATTGGTGCGTTGGCCTTTGCCGCAAGGATATAATGAGTTTACGAGCAAGCGGAATATGGGTTTACCTGGTTGATGTGTAATGAGCAATCGGAGTGTATATACTGGAAGGGCGATTTTCCTCCTGGGGGTTTTCAACTGGACAAGGAAGCAAGAGATATGTGCTCCACACGGGGTCTGCATTTATTCACGGCGTTGCATCGCATCATGACTTTTGGATACTTATATAGATGACATGAGCAAGGGAAGAACGGCACCATATCGTCATGAGGTGGTTGTATATATATACTCTCTCTATATGGATATACTACTCGATGTTTCTAGAAGGCCATCAAGCCGCCAGACCGATATCCGATGTAGACTTGTGCCTGGGGTCACAGTATTGGCAACTCTCGACATATCAAGATATTCTCAAGGTTGCGAATTTTGCAAACAAGGAACATCCATGACGTTCACATACTCATACATGTGAAAGCAAACAAAAGGTTCAATTAAACGCTACGGCATGGGGGCTGGCGACCCCGAAGGAAAAAAGAAAAGCAAAAAGTTCCAAGCCCTCAGTCTCGCTGGCTATACGAATTCTCGAGATCCTCGAGATCGCTCCCAACCCATCGCGCCAAAACGTCCTGAACTTTCTTGTCTCTCTCTCTCTCCATAGCCCTGTAGTTTTTTCTCTGTTCCTCTGATGTTTCTGTCTTTCTGACCTTGTTTAAACCCCTTTCTTTCCACCCCCCCCTCTAGCATTTCACTACTTTCGTCAAACATACATCGTCCCGAACCACCGTTGAAAAAGAAAAAAGCATCTTGGTAAAGCCTCCCTTTCCCCTCCCTCCCCCCATTTTTCGATGTGTGCGTCCATGATCCATGATTCGCCGTCCAGTCTAACTCCATCGTACAATGTGTTCATGGAGCCGTGATGAATAAAAGAAAAAAGCAGAATTAACAACTTGCAAGTGTCGTCTTGTTGCGCCGCGTCTACCTGATATGGGCCGTATTCTGAGGTGGAAGAGTACCACCTTAATGTGACATGTATATATCTCTTGAGAGAGAGAAAGGAAAAGTGCGGGGAAAAAAAAAGCCAAAATGCATCAAGGGATTCAGTAAGGGGCAAAGGAAAAGAACAACTTTTGGCGAAGAGAAGCGCAATGCGAATCTCTCGCTTTTTGCATCTGTTCTGGGAGCAGAGTCTGGCTTTTAGAATTCCCAGTCGTCTGCGTCCTCGACAGACTTGATGGCCCATCGGAACTTGTCTCGGAGAGTCTTGGAGAAGAACTTCTCAATAGGAACGTCAAACTTCTTCGAAAACACTACCGTCAGACGAGGGTCGATGTAGTTCTGCGGCCATATGGTTAGTATTCGTGTGTTTGCTGCGGCAATAGCAGTGCTGAGCGGATACTTACGATCTTTGACGTGCTCAGGGCAACCTCCTTGTTGCCGTCGCGGTCTTCGGCCTGCGTCTCCAGGATCCTGATGCGCTCGTCAATCTTGTCAATGGAAGCCAAGAGTTTCTCCACGCTCGCTCCCCTGCCCTCAGCCTCGACCTTGCCTGTCTTGTTCTCCTTCTTGAATTTGGCCTCGAGTTCCTTGACGGCCTGAAGGCGCTCTTTAAGTTCCTTTTCAGGGAGAGGTCGCTCCTTGTTGGCCTTGAGCTTCTCGTTGTCCTTCTCGAACTTCTTCGTGATCTTGGTGCGCTGTTCCTCAATCAAGAACTGCTGATGCTCCTTGATCCACTCGTCATCGAGATCTTCATCCTTCTCGAACCAAGCCGCACCCTTCTTCTTCTTCTGGGTTGGGTCAAGGTCGAGAATCATCTTCTTGGTCCGCCATCTCTGATACCTGAGGCCCTTGATCTGATGAAAGAGTCAGCGTTGCTCTCGCTTGATTCGCTTCTTTGGAAGAAGAAGAATACTTACTCGATCTCCAAGCTTCTGCATCTGCTGCTCGTGAGATGCCCCGACAGTCCGCTTGTGGTTACAGAGAATGGCCACCTTGCGGTTGCAGTCATTGTAAAGCTTCACCTTCTCTGCAATGGTGCCCCGAGAGCGCGGATCTTTTCCAAGTTCCTTGAGCAGCTCGGACATGGTGTAGGACGCGTTGTAGGTACGGAAGACCTTGGCAGTCAGTCCGGGCATGTAGCTGTTGAGATGCTTGTTCAGTTGAGACGTCTGATAAATAATTAGGTTAGCATTCAGTACCACTAAGGGGGCAAACGAAGTCATCTCGTAGCTTACGTTGAGGCGATCAAAGAGGTCATCGCCGTCCGTCTTGGGAGCCTTCTTGAACAGCTTGAGGTTCTTGAAGACCTGCGGATCAACACGTGCCGTTTCGTTGTACCTAATACTGTCTTTACCCAGGAAGTCGAATGTGACTTGGTCTGGAGGCTGCAAGGAGATGTGCTCGTATTTCAGCGAGCAGCAGCCAACGGTATCTGCCTCGTTTTCCGTGTCCTTCTCGTTTCCAGCTCTGAGAGCAAGCTTGTCGATCAAGTACATGGCGGTTGCCCTCTGACGGTCCGCCATAACCTCACTCTTGAGATCCTTGGTGTAGTCACGGCGGATCTTGTCAATGTGCTTTTTGAGCTCCCGAGCCTTCTCAAACTTCTTGAAGTCACTCTGTCCCTTCACATCGCTAGCAGCTCCAAGCATGACGTACTTGTAGGCACCGTTGATGTTCTCCTGCCACATGGCAAGCCATGTGGCCTTCTGATCATGCTGGACAGCCTTCCACTTGTGTCCCGCTGGCGGAGTGGGAACCTTGGCCCCCTTGCCGATGTTGATGGTGATCTGCTCCGGCTGAACTCGCGCCTTGACTTTGCCAGTCTTGGGATGCTCGCCTCGACCACGGAATAAGCTGGGCGGCTCCACTCGGAAGTTGCCAACTTTTTGCTTCCTTCCGTCCCACATACAATAGAGATAGGGAGCCTCGAGCTTGTCTTTCTCAGCCTTGAGAGCTGCTTTCTCCTCCTTGGTCATGTTTTTCTTGGCCTCGGTCTTCGCCGCCCAATACTCATAGATTTTGGAGAAGTCGCACTTGTCCAGGCTCTTGATGTCGACTTTGTTGCCCTTGCCGTCCTTCGCGCCGCCTGACTTCTTGATGTATTCGGAGAAATCGGCAAAGAAGTTCTTGCGGAAGGTAGGATTCTCAAGATGATGGCTAGACGCGGGCGTCATCATGGCTACCCAAAAGGTGGCGACCTCTTCTGCCTCGGGTGCGAGGGTGACGGGCTGGCCATCGTAGTACATCTTGACGTGCTTCGGGAGAGGCTCGTATTCCGGCGCGAACAAGACTCCGTTGTGCTCAAGGGTGGTCCACTTGATGCTGTCGTCCTCCTTCTTTGGCGCATTCCACCACTCAAACTCGTCGTCATCCGCCTCCTCGCTGGGCTCCTTGGATTTGGCCTTCTTGGTATCCTTGGCGTCCTTTGCGGGAGTGGCCTTCTTTCCCTTGGCCGGAGCAGTGACTGATCTTGACTTCTTGGAGATGGGAGCATCGGAGTCAGACTCGTCCTTCTTCACTCCGGTGGACTTCCTCTTTGAAGCTGTGCCATTTGACTGCCGCTTTTTGGCTGCGATGGGTAGATCGTCATCCGATTCGTCCTTGACGGCCTTCTTCGGTGTCGGCTTGGCCTTGGATTCCTTGGCACGGATAGCTTTGGCCTCCTTATCAGCCTTCTTTTCAATGTCGGCCTTCTTCTTCGCGAGCTTAACGCCCAGAGGTTGCTCATCGTCAGAGGTCTCGGGCAGCGCCGTCTCCTTGTAAGAGGGAGGCAGCTTCTGCGACCTGGCCTTGACCATGGGCTCGTCATCCGAGTCGGAGTCCGGTTTGGATCGCTGTCGTTTCGCCTACACGCCGACATCGTTAGCTGACCGTGCGACCTACGTCTTCGTTGTCGTCGTGGTGAGGAAGGGCATCACCTACCAAGGGCTCGCCTTCGCTTTCCGATTCCTCCTTGTAGGATTTGGTCAGAGAGCCTCGGGATTTGCGCTTAGCTCCGTTGGTAGCCGGCGAATCCAGATCCATCTCGCCATTTTCGACAGGTCCGTTACGGATGGACAGCCCGGCCATCCCAGAGCCCTTGGCGGGGACGGACTTGTCGAGGGCGATGTCATCGGCGCGAGATATCTTGGAGGACGACACTAGAGTTGATGCCTGCGATTAGCCCAAGTGCCAATGCTTACACTGCGCGCGATTGGACATGGATCGATGCGTCTCCCGTAAGCGCTGGCGCAGTCGCGTGTACTGGGGATAACCCTGGGGCCGGGAAACCCAAAGAAACGAATAGAAGCAAAGCCAACATGTCAAAAACTCGAGGAGGACTTACGACGGCCGTTTGGCCTGGCGAGAGGCCGGTCGTCGTCTGAGCTGTCGGACGCCATGGTTTGCAGCGAGGACCAGCTGGCACTCGGCGGACGCAAGGCTCTGCAAGAGGCGCGAGCGACGAAGGGAATGCGAGAGCCGCGATTGGCAAGCGAGAAGCCGAGGGAGAGTCGGCAGAACAGAGGGGAGAACAGGTCTGCGAGAGTCAGAGCAGGCTGGCGAGAAGTGAACCTCGACAGCCCCGGGGCGAAGCAAAGACCTGAGGGACGCAGAAGAGCTGGGCGGGAAAAGAGAGGCAGAGAGAAGGAATCGCCTCGTGTTTTCGGCTTCTCTTGAAAAAGCCTTATGCATCTAAGTAGTCGTCTACAGCGCCTGCGTCTTCAGATGGGATACAGCGATAGTGGACAGACCCACCCGACTATCGCTCTACCGGGGGACTCATCGCGATTGGCGGCTTAACACTTTTGCGAGCGAAGCGCTGCCAGCGGCGTTAGTGCAAGGGCGAGGCTGCCATCACCCACCAGCTCAAGTGGCAGCAGCGAGGGTACGGAGGTACAAGGCCAGCTGCGGAACCCGTGCTTTCCCGTCGATTTGCCGGCAAAACGAGCAAAACTGGAATCAATCGCTCACCACCTCCGAAGCTGCATCCCCACGAACAATCCCCGTCCCCTTCAATTGAATCAATTGGGTCTGCGCCGGCCAGAGGGCTTAGTTTGACTGTCCACACCTGCCAGAATGTTGTCAAGGGCTGCCCGACCGGCTCTGCGCGCCGCTGCTGCAGCTCCCTCCCGGTGAGTTTTTCGCTCTCGTTTTCTGCCCACTTTGGCAATCTATAAGAATTTGTTATAGCCGCGGGACCCAAGGCTTGCGCGATCCGTGGGCTGCCTCGACGACAGCCAGCGTGGGGATGGACAGGGGAACACACGATGAACATGGAGAAAGAGAGCGAATGAGAGAGGACAGAGCACGAGACGAGGAGGAGGAGGGATCATACAACAAAGCGTCATTATCGTGTACATGGAAAACTAACATGGTTTGCTCAGAGCTGCCGCCGCTGGCCCCAGCACCGCCGCCACCTATGCGACGCTCCGTGAGATCGAGACCCGTCTCAAGTCCATCCGCAACATCGAGAAGATCACAAACACCATGAAGGTCGTCGCCTCCACCAAGCTCACCCGCGCGACCCGCAGCATGAACGACTCCCGCAAGTACGGCGAGGCGTCCAACGAGGTCTTCAAGTCCGCCGAGACCGCGGCCGCCGAGGCCGAGGAGAAGAAGTCGCTCATCATCGTCTGCTCCTCCGACAAGGGCCTCTGCGGCGGCATCCACTCCGGCCTCAGCCGCACCATCCGCCGCATGTACGCCGAGGAGGGCGCCGGCTTCGACCTCGTCATCATCGGCGAGAAGTGCAAGGCCCAGCTGCAGCGCACCAACGGCAAGGAGATCCAGCTCACCTTTGCCGGCGTCGGCAAGGACATCCCCACCTTCGCCGATGCCCAGGCCATCGCCGACCAGATCGTCCTGCTGCCCAACGAGTACACCGACGTCAAGATCCTGTACAACAAGTTCATCAACGCCACCAGCTACGAGCCCAGCTTCATTGAGGCATTTTCCGAGGAGGCCATTGCTCAGTCCCGTATGTCAACGCTCTCAAGGCTGCTGCTTTCTACCTTGTTACTAACACTGCATAGCCAACATCTCCGCCTTTGAGGTCGAGGATGAGTCCCTTGGCAACCTGCGCGAGTACAGCCTTGCCAACTCCATCTACTGGGCTCTTGCCGAGGGCCACGCCTGCGAGCAGTCTGCCCGACGAAACGCCATGGAGGTAAGCTTTCAGAACCACTCCTTTTTCCTCACTGCTTTTTTTTTCCGGCGATGCTAACTGAAAATCCCGCAGAACGCCTCCAAGAACGCCGGTGAGATGATTGGCAAGTACCAGATCCTGTACAACCGCACCCGACAGGCTGTCATTACCGGAGAGCTGGTCGAGATTATCACCGGTGCCATTGCCTCTGAAGAAATGTAAAAAAGAGAAAAATAGTATACATAAACTTTCTTACTTTTTCTCTCTTCTTTACATACCTTCTTCTTTTTTGTACTTGGTAGAAAGCAGAGCTACATCTTAAAAAAAAAGAGCTGGCGTGCCGGAGAATCAAAAAAGAAATTCCATCCTTTGTAATAACAAAGCTTAGAGGTTTGCCCAGCGCGGTGTCTATCCCAGTCGAGTGTATCAAACCACAGTCAAAGTTGTATCAAACCCACAGATAAATTTCCTTAGTAGACCCAGAAACGTCATGAGTTGAGGCACACGAAGTCTCCGAATCAAGATGAAGAAATTCAATGATTTGATCACGAATACTAGTTATGATATGTACGGGATAATACCTCGCCTACAGCCACGGCAACCATTTTTCCCCCATCCACTTTTTGTATCAACGGGTTTTTTTTTCTACACATCCTGCGGGACCTCAACATCCAAACGCCACGATATATACAGCTTTCAAACAAGTGCACAGAAACAACAGGAGACGGACGATATGACACACAGAAACCCAGCCGCAAAAGGTCTGCACTTCATGTATCCACGTCGGTATCTCCGCCCTCGACATAACTCACATTCTTGGCCCTCCGCTTCTGCGCCGCCGTCGACGCATCATCCTCCGGCCCCTCCTCCGGGCCCGGCAAGCTGGGATGCTCCTCTTCGTACGCGGCGCGGAGGGCCATGGCCTGGCGATCCCACTTCTCCGCCAGCGCATTGTACTCTTGCATGGCTTCGAGATAGCGCTTCTTCTGCTCGGCGACCTGTTCTTCGTACGGCTTCTTTTGCTCCGGCGTGGCTTCTTTCCACATGCGGGACGTCATGATGCGGACTTCGTTGGGTATCGACCGGCTCCTGCCGGGCTTGCGGCTCTCCTCGCATCGCTTCTTTGCGGCCTCGAAGTGAGCCTTGCTGAAGAGGATGTAGGCGCTGCCGGCCACCTTGTTCGGGCGAAGGGGCCGCTCGCCAATCTTGGAGAGGACGTGCTCCCAGACCTCGATCTCGTATGCCTCTAAGCGCGCCTGCCGGGGATCCTTGGCTGCCTCCTTACGTTTATGCAGCAAAAGCGAGTCCCTCGGGAGCACAAGAGGCGTCGGCACCTCGATCGGACCGATCATTGACTCCAGGACCTCGGATGCGGCTCGCAGTCCCGACAAATAGGCGCCGTGAACGGTGGCCGGGTGCGTGCCGATGGTATGCTCTCCCGCGAAAAAGAGGTTGCCTGCAGGCTGGGCCATGACGTTGTAGTCGTCTGGCTGCATATCAGGGGCAGCTGAAGAGTAGCTGCCTCGGGCAAACCGATCGGACCCCCATCTGGTAACCACCGTTTCTATGGGGTAAGGGACGTCTTTGCCAAAGACGCTCCTCAGAATATCTGTGGCTTCGGCGACTAGGCTGTCGTTGCTCGTATGCTCCGTATCAAAGCCAGCGTCTCCGGCCATCAGTGCGATGAGGCAGGGTAGACCCGTGGTGTTGGTGACGTTGAACCACTGGAAGAAGCGTCCACGGTTCGTGCTGTAATCTTGCTGGGATGTGCTATGCCGGTTGGGCGCATCCCTGAGCACACCAAAGATGTGTCTGTCTGAATCCCAAAACACCCTGTCATACAGCAAGACCACCTTGTTGAGGATGCCGAATCCCAGTCGGAGAACTGCATCCGCCTTTTCGGAAGGCAGCGGCGGCTCAAACTGAATCGTGCCCTGCTTGAGGACACCAAGAGGTATGGTGCAGACGACAGCATCTGCTTCCACTACTGTGCCGTCTTCGCTCTCTATGCTGGCGGGGCCGTCAAAGCCTTCGCCGTGGTAGGTGATTCTCTGCACGGCAAACTTGGTCTTCACCTCGAGTGGCGACGGACATTGGAGCAGGCCACGGGCAACGCTCTGATATCCTCCGACGACCATTGTGTGGGGACCCTCCCATTCGTTGCCTGCATCAATGTCCCAGAGGCCGAGACTCAGATTGTGCAAGTTGGTAGCATTGCTGTACTCTAGATTGGCAATGTGCCAGTTGATCAACCGGTGGTCTTGCGCATTCAGGTCGACGATATTCTTGTACTGCGTAATGGTGTAGTCCAAGACAGACCCCAGTGTTGACCCTTCCAAAGTGGTGGCTTGGGTCAAATCCAGGTTTCCCTTGTCTGCCGCCCCTGCTTTGACGTTCCAGCCCATCAACTTGGCCTTTTCTGATGCCTTGATGGTCCCAGGGACTCCGGGCTCGTTGTGGACTCGGCCCGTCAGCTTGTCTGAGGAGACCGGAACCATGTTCACGGTCTCGGGTACGTTCTGCTGGGACACTGAAGGGGCATCGGGTAGCGCAGCGGTGGCCTCTTCAGCTTGTATAATGGTCTTGGAGCCATCTCCAAGGCTATCCCGCCCCTCGTCGAGCAGGTCACGGTTGCCTTCAATCACCTTGGAGGGCTGGTACTTGTACTTGAACTCGCTGACGCGATCTAGACAGTCATTGTAGAGCTTCTCAACCAGGAGATCCCTTACTGGGTCTACCGGTTTGCCATTGCTGTCATAGATTGTGGTATCGGCAGTAAGGGCGTGGTATGGAATGCCCAGTTGTCCACGAACGATCACATTCAGCGGGTTCCCGCGATCAAAGCCCGTGATGATCATGCCACCCATCTCGGCGGTGTGTCTCTTGCCCCTGAACTCGGGGTCAACCGTGGCAGGCCTTGTCTTGAACTCGCGGGAGTATACTCTGCCGCCAACGCGACCTCTACCTTCAAGAATGACCACCTTTGGGGGCTCCTCTCCTCTTGAATAGAAATGGCCGGCATGCTGCTTGAAGAGACCATCAAGCTGCCTGGCGCAAGACAAACCCGAGATGCCTGCTCCGATGATAGCGATAGTCTTGCGCTTCTTTGTAGGAGGCTCGTTCTTGAAGTCAGCCTGGGGCTCAGGCAGCTGTACGCAGCCATAGTTTATATATCCACGACGGACCAGCCAGTCGTAGCATACGCTCGCGGCATCAAACCAGCGAGCATTAGCACACCCGACCGCCTCTTGCCGTGTTACGCCGACCGACGGCTGCTTCATCCATATGCGCAGTATGCCGTTTCGGATGTTTAGGTATGTCGTGACTTGGGAGTGGGATATGTGATGCCGTAGAAAGTGATATTCTTCGGGATGTAGGGCGTAAGGGTTGAGCCGCGATGACTCGGCGGCAGCGATGCACTCGCTGGCATATTGGTAGGATGGAATGTCTGTCGGGATAGATGACTTCGGCCGAACATTGAAGGTCAAGCGTTCGATATCATGGCGGTAGGATGAGGAGGCCGAAAAAGTTTGTGTGACCCCACCGATCTGTGGGCGGCTAGGTATCTCCGTCTCGACGGGCGTTGTGGCTTTACTAGAGACAATTGAAGGAGAGGATAAGACGTCTGAAAGGTCTGACAAGGAAGAGTGCGACGAAGTAAACGACTCAGCAATGGCGTCTTCTGGAGGATCGGCTGGTAATGGGGCATCATCGCCGTGCTGAAGTTTCTCATCACTGTCCGGATGATGAAAAGAGCAATTGATTAGAATAAACATGAACAATTGAGTTGGAGAGGAAGAAGGGACAAGGATGATTTCGAAGAAGAAGACAAAATATACTTTCCCACAACATGCAACAACTTTCTTCTTCTTCTCAAGTGGGTGGCGGTGCGTTGGGCATAGACTCACTCCGTGTCAAGATGCATGCCGGAAGACTCTTCCGTGTCATGGTTCGACAGGCCGCTGCTCAACTCCATATCTTCCGTCCACACGACAATCTCTTGGGCCACCTCCGACGACTCATCCGACGAGCCCCGCCCAGACACCTGGCGAGAGCTCACGAAGCTGCTGGGCGACGCCGGCACCTGGCTCTGGCTCTTGGCGACGGACTCCGCCGCTAGGCTGGATATCGACGAGAAAGAGTCCGTGTCTTGCGTGGGCGAGAAACTCGGCCCAATCGGCACTTCCTTTTCTAGGCTCAGATGGCTCTCGACAACAGTTGCCATGGCGAATGGTCTGTTCCGGCCCAAGCACCTGCTCTGACAGCGGCCGGGAGATTTGGTCGATGTCGATATATGAGAGACTGCGGATGTCGGGATGGAAAGACGGGATCATCGACTGGGACACTCGGCAGTATGAGAACCATACAGCATGACGCTGGGCAGACGCATCATATGATGAAGGTATCTGCCATGAGAACCTCCTCCTGTCTTCGTCGGGTTTGTCAGCCAAGGGGTCCGTCTTGCTCTCACTCGCGGTGTATATTATACCTGAACCCAGGAATTGTTGTAAGCGGAAACGATAAGTCGTTTGGAGGTTCACTGGCTCAGGAGCGTATCTAGCGGAGCAGAGGCTACAGGGCTGCGATGCAACTGCAGGACGGGCCGAGGTCAATGATTCTCGGGCTGCTGAACAGGTCTTCAAGCGGGACGGGACCGACTTCAACGCTGCCGCGGATTGTATTTTACTCCAAGGAAGGGCCAATGAGCAGGAAATAATAGAGCCATCAGCTCATCGCGGCCCCTCAAGAACGCTGAATTCAGGGAATAGGCACGGTCACGTGAGCAACAACAGTCCAATCGCGATGCTCGCTGCTGTGGGGCGCGCTCTCTACTGGAAGTCATCCGCCGGCATCTCGCGACGATGAACTTGAGACCACTTTGGCATCAGCGACGAGGCAGCCCGATTGAGAAGTAAGAGGAGAAGAGGAAGATCGCAGTCATATCAAATGTTGCTCAAGATGCTCTCATGCCCCGCCAACGACAGTTTAGACCCTCGCCGAACCAGTACGCCGCCAAACTCCAAAACATCGTATTTCGACTCCGATAGCCGTTCGCCTAAGGGCTGTTGGGCAACGCCGGCTCCTTGCGCGCGAACGCTTCTTTCTCGATTGCCGCGTCCATCATCCTGTTTCCGCTGATTATAGAAGTCGCGCATATGACGATCTTCCTCCGACCTAGAACGGATATACATGTTAGCCGTGAGTGCTGACCGGTCTCATACCACACCTTTGATTGTTGCTTACTCTCTTCCTGCTTCGCGATAAATCTCAACGCGGCAATCTCCGTGAACGTGACGCCTCCGACAAAGACGACAAAGACTGTCTGCTTCTGCCCGCTGCCGGACAAGAGGGCCCTTGCTTTGACGGCCTTGTCCTCGCCCTTTTGAAGCTCATAGAAAGTCTGCCCTCGAACGTGCTTGACGGCTTCGTCGAATCCATGCCAGCCTTGTGTGCCTGCCCCAGGGGCAATGCCGCTGGCATTCGCTGCGCCATTACCCTTCGTTATAGACAACAGGTACTGCTTCTGGAGAATGCATTGTACAAGTCGGATGGAGAGAGGGGCATAGCCGCTGTACACGTACGCGATGTCGTTGGGATCGTCCTCCTGCACTTCGTCGACAATCAGGCGCAGCTGCTTCCGTAGATACGTGTAGTTGGTTTTGGTCCCGTCAGCGCCGGAACTCGCCGTCATTGGTATCATTCCCGCAAGTGGGGACGAGCGTGATAGAAACAGCTGCAGCTTCTCCAGGTTATTGAGCGTGAGAAGGTGCTGGTAGCCGTAGCCTTGAAGTATGAGCCGCTTGAACTGCTCCAAATCCTTGGGCTTTATCCCCCCGGATATGCACGAGTATATGCAAAGCAGCCGAAGAGTCTCTCGTAGGGGAGCCTCCCTGGCTATCAGCTCTTCGATGCCGTCGAATTGCGACGACGGATCGGCACCGGCCGCGAGATTCTGCTGGACCTCCAAAAGGCCCTTGAACAGATCAGTCCGCGTGTGTTTGATGATTTCCTCCGCGAGACCCGTGTGTATCCTTGCGCTCTGGTGCTCTTGCTGGTAGCCGGGCAGCTGGCTCACGAATTCCTTCAGCTCGGCAATCGTCTTGGTCTTGTGCTTGCTCTCGTAGTCGGACTGAACCTTTTGCAGGCGCCTGGCGACCTTGTTGAGAAGCCCACCGACGATGGCAAAGTTGGCGTTTCGCAATTGCTCGTATAGTTTATCGCTCGAGTCGAGCTGAACCGTCCGCTTTCTGCTCTGCGATGTAGCCGTGGAGGACTGCGCTGGAGCTCCCACAATGGTCGTGTCGACCTTGGCCTGATTATTCTGAATCTCAAAAATCTCATCAATGAGCCCCTCATATGTCAGCTGTGTGAGCAGCGGGGTGACAAAGTCAACCTCGCGATCGATGATGATGACGCTCTCGTTGGTGGTGCTGGGGGTGAGCGCCGTCTTGACATCGCTTCCGTCCTCACCAGCCAGCCGTTCTTGGCGCATGCGCACGAGGAGGTCTGCTACGCGCTTCGCATTGTCGCCTTTGCCAATGATCCTGGGGAACAGGCCATGATTCTGCTGCACCTCCATGAGCGCCTTGGCCATGAGGAAGTTGGGGGTGATGTCTTTGGACAAGTAGAGGTCCTTGAAGGAGTCCTCCAGCTCGAGCGATAAAACGTCATCTTCCAGAGGGAAGAAGAGCAGCGGCAGCTCCGATATGTTGATGTCGCCGAGAACGCCGGCTTCCTCGAGTAATTGGTCGGACACGAGCGTGCGCCGGGGCACCCAGAATATGTGAAAGTCATGCGTCGTCTGGCTCTCCCGCTGTATTCGTTTGATCTGGGCTGGAGGGGTAAACTTGCGTCAGCTCACTCAGCCTCCAGACAAAGAGGACTACGTCTCTGCCGACGAGCAGCTTTGATTCGAGTCTACATGTAAATCAAGAGCAGCGCCCGGCAAAGCTAATGAGAGCTGGACATGCCCTCGTATCGCAAGCGCATTGTGATTCGCGTCTTACCTGCTATGGCTTCCGCATGCCGCCCGCACTCTCCTCTGGCGACAAAGACGACGTTGCGCTGGCTCGCATCCACATTGTTGTTCTCGAGGATGAAGAACTTGTCGACGCCGTACTCCTGCAGCGTGGCAACCTTGACGATGGTGCCGATGGGGCCGACCAGGCTGCGGTCGAAGACGAGGTTCTTCTTGCCGCGGACCTACGAAGAAGCTGTGTGTTTAGCAAGCCAGCCAGGCTCTCGAGGCTGAGGGGCCGTGAGAGGGACAGTGAGCCTTACTTACACCCTCGAGCAGGTAGAGCAGGTCCTTGCGCGCTTTGCCCCGGACCTGCTCGGTGCTGAATTCCGCGCGCGGCGCCATGATTGTGCAAGGCGGGGAGCGGGTTGAGGCAGCTCGGGAGCTCAGTTTCTAGTGGCAGGTCGCAGGAGGCGCGAGGTTAGGTCAGGTTGTATGGAACTGTGCCGGAGCTCAAGCAATCAAGGTGCCCCAAGACAACACCCCTGGCCAGGGCGGTGAAGCGCCTGCGGGGAGCCCCGCAGCCTTCCATTGCGGCAGCGAGCAGCTGATTGAGTGAAGTTTAGTGACTGCAACACGCCCTGCAGTCACTAACGGCTGCCCGTGGACCACTAGAGCTGGCGGGTTAGTGGCCTGGCCGGTGGTTGGCAGACGATAAGCCGAGGGACGACGTCATATATGTTGCATCGGTTGGGCGTTGTGTTGGATGGAGAACCAGTCATGCCACTTCTGAGATTTCCTCCCATGAAACGTTTGCCGCAGAGGAAAGGCAGATTTTATATCGAAATATTACTACTGACGACGAGGTATACACAAGGAATATCATAGCATGAAAAAATGCAATTCTATGAAACTTCGCATATTCCTGTTTGCGTCCGTCAAAGGTTGGATAAAAGTTTACATACAGAGGCTTCCCCTCGCCAGCCTCTGCCCCCAAGTTGCGCCGCTGTGCATGCGCCTAAATGCCCTCGCCGCCGATTTTGCGTGAGGCGTCACTTTTGACTTGGCAATCACGATAGACTACTCCTCGATAGCTTCTGGAAGAAATGAACAGAACAACAGAAGAGAGAGAAAACATCGCTTATAGCCTCAGGAATCATCAGCAGGATATGACCCTGTGATCAGCCGTACCAGATGCAAGGTCCCGTGCCCCAGTGAGTGATTGCGTCAAGACAAGATATAGACGCAGAAACAGTGAAAACGCCAGATGAGCCTTCGCGGCCGCTAAATCAATGCAAGAGTCCTCCAAGAAGAAAGCCAAAAACATCCCGAGAGAGCCGCGTTATCCATGGCTGAGGAGTGGTACTACACAGTATTATCGTGATAGAGAAACTCAATGTCTCGGGGTCGCTGCTTGTTCCCCCGCACAAACTCTTCGTCGCCGGGCGGTCGCTCGTTCTTGGTGTTGCTCGTCAGCATGCTCTGTATGCTCATGCAGACGCTCTCGGCGCTCTGGACGGGGCTCCAGCCTTGGTTCCCCAGCAGGTCGAGACATATTATTCCGTTCGAGTAGATGTGCGGGTGGATGGGGATAGGGCGGCTCGGTCTGTCTACAAAGGTGACTTCGGGGGGTTCTTGAGAATCATGGCTGTTAGTCGACGGCGATGCTGCTGAGGGCTGACAGATGGGAGGCTTCCGCCTACCTATGGGATAAGTGTCGGAAAAGACGAATTTCAGGCGGAAGATGTTGCCGTCGTAGATGGGGTTGCTATCCAGGACGCGGATGTCGAAAAGCCACTCTTTGAGGTCGCTGGCCTCCACGAGCTCGATGCCAGGCGGCAGCCCGAACTTTTCTATCTGCGAGCGTTGTCAGCGCTTCAAGGTCGTCGATATAAGCCTCCCCCAGCAAGCGACGAAGACGAGAGAATCGAGACGAAGTCGAAGGGCTACCGACCTTCTGGCGCTCCTTGGCCACTCGCTTCGTTCGCATGCCCGTGGCCATTTTGTGGTTTTGTCTGCTGCAAGAAGAAGTCTGTTAAGAGGCGTGAATCGTGAGTCGACGTCCGCTTGAGTTGGGTGGAAAAAGCAAAAGTATTAATGTCTGCTCCAAGTTGCGAGTAGTACCAACAGAGATGTGTAGAGACGGCTCGTGGATGGTGGTTTAAATGCGTCGGAAGGGTCTTGAGGCGGCAGTTGCGGGTGTGGCGCTGGTGCAGGCGCAGCAGCACTCCAGCCGGTCTCCCTGTTAGTAGTATCAAATCAGACGGCGATGCGCAGCTGCCTGCAGCCTTCCAGGTCGTGTCACTGGGCGCTTGAACCCGCCGGCGTCTTTTCAATGTCGCAGTGAATGATTCAGGTCAAGTCACATGTGTTGCAAGTTGGCTTAAGGTAGGTATGTTGGTATGCTGGCCTTGTTGGGCAACTTGATACCCTACACGGCTGTGCTACAGCGGCGATTCCCGTGCAGCCATTCAGAGCCCGACCCGACGACTAAAGGGGCCCGTATTGACTTTTCTCCTTGCCCAAGGCATCACGGCGTTAGTATATACCTTACGGAGTATTTGGGCGCCTTTTGTTGTCGGCTATTGTCCAGTGATGGCTTACGTGGGGAGCTGCACCGCGAGTAAGCGCTTGTCGATGCATGCGTCTCATGCATATCCGTCGACTCGAGGGGCTTGTAATTCTGGATACTACTCTACGACTAAGACCACCGCTACTTACATATATACCTACTACTAGCAGAGGACGGACTTTGATCGCCTGGTCATCAAGAAGGAGCACAGTCTGGGTATTCAGGTAGCTATTTCGTGAATGTAGGCTTACAGGCATTACATACAATTCCTCTCTTACACACAAGTCCTCCACATCATCGAAGGGGCCGCCCAGTCACCCATATATCAGTCTTCCCATATTCCTCTAGTTCAGCATCCATATCAAAATGCCCGAGGAAATCAGTCTCCCATCTCCCCATCCACCCCTTGACAACAATCACATCTTGCTTGCTGGCAAAAACCAAAGCCTTCTCCGGACCGAGCACGCACACGACCGAGCCCAGTATGCTCACCCACTCCGGGGGAATGAAGAAATGCCGCCTGACTTCCATGGTCAGGTGAAACGTATCCAAGTCCACGGTGCTGATCCACCTCTCTTTGTGAAGGAACACGAGGGTAGAGTCCATGACGGAAATGATGTCGCCCAGTACGCAGCTCAATGCTTGTAAGCCGCGTCTTGGAACGACTTCGACTGCTTGTTCACCACCAGCGAGAAAGCCGTTTGTGTCCCAACAGTTCATGCGAATTCCCGTCAACGGATCAGCCAGCTTCTCCACAAACACACGATCGCTGCTGAGGTACGATGCGTTTGTAACGTACTCTGGCTCGGGAAGCCTTCCGTCTCTACACAGGCTCAGCGTTCCCTCCGAGGCTCGTCCAAAATCGCGCCAGTAGAAGACGTGGCTCCGTGAATCTTCCAGAATGATGAACCTATCATCCATCAAGGGGAATTGCACCGCTCGCCGTAAGTTTGCTGAGCTCCTGGGCACCCGCAGACTCTCCAGCTTCTCCTTGGACGGCAGACTCCAAAGCTCAGACGTGGACAGTGTGATGATGAGCAATCTGTCTTTAGATGGACTCAACAGCATCTGTTCGACGAGATTGCCGCAACTTACTCTGAGTATGATCTTAGCACTTCCCCACTCGTTTTGCTCACGGGTAGGTTCAGCAAACACCACGAAGCCATCTTCATCCCCTGTAATGATCAAGTCTCCCTCCGAGGCCTGGACCACGACAAGGCTGGTTATTGCGCACTTATGCTCTTGGTGAAGACGTGCAATCCGTGACCCATCTAGAGCAGAGGAGGCCATGACTTCTCCAGACTGTGTACCACAGATCATGACACGGCCGTCATCAGAGAGAGCCATGACAGCAATGGAAGCTTTATGAGAACGTGAACCTATTGCTGCCCGAAAGTCGCCAGTTGCTGCATCTTCGTGCATCTGGCCTTCCTGCAGCTCAAGCATAGGGAATTCCCATATGCGGCTCTGACGACTGTGGGCACCAAGAATGCGTTTGCCCTGGCTGGCAACCACGAGCGGCGTGATGGGTATTCCAGGATGATCAACTTGGCATACAAGGTCGAGGCTGACGGCATCCGAGATCTGGACCTTGTATATCTCAAGTGTGAAGGCAGTTTCTTCCGTACCCACAACGGCATGCCTCCCATCCGCGGTCCACGACACATGGTTTGCGCACATGTCGGGCTTGTAATATATCTGGCAGATCGTGCTGGTATCGAAAATAGCGAGCCCGCCACCTGTGTAGCAAGCTGCGAGAAGATGTGTTTCAGGGCTGGGATTGAAAGAGAACTCCTTGACAAGTCTTCCCTCAGGTGTTTTCAAGACGCCTTGAACCGATAGCTCATCGATATGAAGGAGATAGATGTCTCCACTGCTGTAAAAGGCGACGCCGAATCGCTGCGGACAAGCCTCGTCAAATCTGGCTTCGCATGCATATGATGACGGGAGAGGCACTTCCATAGAGGTGCTGTCAAACGTGCCCCATTGAAGTGTCTCCAACTCCTTCGTTTCGAGATTCCTACGGCATTGTGAGAAAAGGAGCACAAGTCAGACTCAAGAATGGTGAAGCTACTCACCTTTGTTCCATCACACCGGACGATGAAACGGTGATGAAATGGTTCAGGCCGAAAGTGAACGACAGAACTGGGCCGCAGTCAAAGGTATGTCTGAGCGTCCCTGTCTTGGTTTCCCAAATGGCAGCTTGGCCGAAGCCAGTAGCAGCAAGATATTTGTCGTCACAGCCAAAGCCAATCAGCTTCAGCTGAGAGTTCAGAAACTTGACCTCGATGGTGCTTTGAAGCAAGGCCATGTCGTAAACGGTGATATAACCGGTAGATAAACCAATGGCAGCATGGTGCCGCCCACACGCAACCACTTCCACCATTGCCTCATGCTCGATGCACATGAGACACTCGTTCCATCTTTGTTCTCGCGGCCCAGATACCGTCAGTTCTACGTCTCCAGAGGAAGCAGCGTGACGATATATCAATGACTGAGTAGGGCAGAAAGGGGGCACAAGGTGGTGGATTGCTGCAGGGCTCTTGAGCAACGGCTCTCGAAAGTTCAGCACGACCCGTGAGATGTCTGAGGTCCAGCCCTTGAGACGTGCTATATCGTCGTCCGACCATACTGCCTCTTCTTTGCCGCGCTCTGCATAGCTTTCCAAGTTGATGACTGACTGAACGGCAACCTCAAGCTTGCGCCTTTGAGCCAAGCTCTCAATCCAATGAAGAACCCATTCATCCAAGAATCGAGAGACGACACCCGGGGACAGAGGCTCTCCCGCATTCGACTTTGCCAAGTGTTGCGAGAAGCACTCTGATGCGTACCAGAGAAACGAGATTTCGGTTCGTTGAGTAGAACGGTCGACTGCTAGGTATTTCGCCAAGTATGCCAAGCAGAGTGCTGCAAGATGTCCGTGGTCTTTCGTTGGTGTTATAGCAAACTGCGAATTTAGATCTGCCCGGCAGAGGAATTGTCTCGCTGTATCGTGAACCAGGTGCAATTGGCGTCTCTGGTCTATCATAATGAATTGGCCGCATGCAGAAACAGCGGCATGAAGCATATTCTGCGGCAAAGCTCGAATATCCATCTGTACCGCGCCCCGGAGCTCCTCGATCGTCATCGGTCGTTGTGCCAGAGTTATCCATGTAAGGATGGACTTTGCCAGTTTAGCTCGACGCTTGTCTTTCTCAATGGAGTGTAAGATTCTGGCGTACATTTCGTGCAGGTCACTTGGGACTTCCTCTAGGATAGCCTCAATGTCCTCATCCGTGAATGCCGTTTCGAGCTCCTTGAGGACCAGGCGGATCCAGACAAACGAGCCGTTGGATTTCTCGACAATTCGAGAGACCAAATCATCGCCGGTTTCCAAGTGGTTGAGCTGCTTGAGCCTTGCTTTGACGACGGACCGCATGTCGGACGCTTTTGGTGATGGACTCCGTGGTTAGCATTCGACTCAGCTTGATAGGGGATAATGTGTTTCATGGCCCATAGAAGGGCATCTCACCGGTATGTTCTGTACCAACCATCCGTATTGCAACTCTCTGGCCTAATGAAAGCATGCCCTCTTGTATCTCCGGCGTATGTTGGCTGGCAATCAATACACGGACATGTTGAGGAAGCTGTTCAAAGAATTGGTAAATGTCGGAAGCCCCCGAGCACTCGTCCAGTCCATCAATGATCCAGAAATGAGTCAGTGGCGACTTGATATTGAATATGGCCTCTTGGAACAGCTTCCTCCAGATGAGCTTGTCTGTTTGGCCCTCCCAAGAAACGCCTCCTTCCTGAAGCCGAACGATGGCCCTCCGAACCTGTGCATCTTGCAATCCCATCTGGAAAGCAATACTCAGGAGAAGGGTGGAAAGATCGCGCATCTCTCCCTTTCCTCGCTTGATGAAGAAGTAGCTGCACCGTGTAGGCTCACTCTGCTGGTACATGTAGTCTACGACACGACTGCACATGATTGACTTTCCTGCGCCCATTCCGGCCACAAGCCAGTAGATGGGCGGTGATTCGGGGTCAAAGAGCGTCCAGTTGCGGAAGCCAGGATCTTGTACAATCCAGTCACAGGTCTCGGGATGCCTGGCTTCGCGATGCATGATCAGTTCGTCTTCAAATGAATCGTCGACTCCCAAGTAAGGACCCAGTCTAGCTTTGGCGACCATTTTAGGGGCTGTAACGAAGGAATTGAAGTCAGCCACATGTCGCGCTCTCAACAATTGAAGTGTTCAAGACAGCCAGATTTTTGCATCGACATCAAAGGGGGTGCTTGATCGGGTGGGTGTCTTACAATTGGACTTGATCATCTCGACCGCACTCAACAGTGCGTTGCGCAGCTTCCTGTAGTTATGATCAGATTGATACTTGAACTTGCAAATAGTGCGGTGGTCCGCATCCATCAACGACACGCTCTCGTTGTCGAACCCGAGAGTGGCAGAGTGCTTGTCAACAACGAGAATGTTTGAGTAGTCGGACATTGGCAGAGACTCAAAGAAGGACCATAGACGGAGATCCGAGGCGTATTGGTGGAACGCTTCGTTCACCTCTAGCACGGGCCCCGAGTTGGCTACTAGGTCCTTGACGTATGGCTTGGAGACTCCCGTCACTAACAGCAAGTTCCGCAGGACTTTGCCCAGCTCGGAGCCCCGATGAGGCGTCGCAAGGAAGAACATGGAGTGGAATCTGCTCGCGAGGTCCGCGCAAGTAGGATCCTGCCGGGCTAAGATGTACGCCTTCTTGGCCACGCAGCCGCCCATGCTATGCCCGACCAGCACGATGCCGGCGTCGCTCCGCTTGATGAGCTGATGGTTCATCATCTCCCCAAGTAGGGACTGAGCAAAATCATGGACGGACAATATGCTGGGCGTCCGCTCCCTCCAATCAGCCTCGTAGCCAAAGGTATGGATTCGGACGTGCTCGAATTCGGCATCGGCTGGTAGCCAATCCCGCGGCCAGCAGCTTGGAGGAGCTGAGCCGGAGGAGGAACCGCACCATGTCTTGATCGAGCCTCCTCCCAGGCCATGAATAAAGATCATTTCCGCTATCACGATCCCGTCTGGGGGCTCATACAGCGTGCTCAATCCCAGGGATCCTTTGCTCTTCTTAGGTTTCGGTGTTTCTTCAACTGTCGATGCTTTGCGGCGCCTTGAAGGCAGGGAAAAGGTCCCGCTTGGTTTTGAGAGAATGCCGCTTAGCCATGACGGTTTGAGTTGAGCAGTTTTGGACCTCGGGACCTATGATAATCGCTCTGATGCATTAGTGAAAATGTACATGTAGAGCTGAGATCTTTGATTGGATAATATCATATGTAGATTTGAGAATATGAGACGAGAGCGTCTGTGCAGAAGCTGTCCGTTCCTCACCTTGGATATACTTGAAGTGGTGTTGGAGGCTGGAGTACCGGCTCCAGCACTAGAGAGCTCGGTGTACATGGCGGCCTGTGGGTGCATATGGCTCATCGTTGCTTCATGAACTCTGTCGTTATAGGGTGTAAATTTCGACTAATATCACAACAGATGGCGACGGGGAAATCTCGAACGTGAACAGAAAAATAAGATTGAATCGAACTTCTAAACGATTTAGAGGAGAAGAAACATAGATGCAAAGTTCGATCGGTTTCATTTTCGTCGCTCCGTGGCACTCTCTGTGTAACCGCCTCCTGCTGCAGACATGGTCCATATAAAATAGCCTGAGCGGCTATTGCACCAATATACTCTCAGCACCGATGCGAGACAGAACCAACCGCATAATCTCAGTAGGGATGCTTCGAATCCTTTCAGAACTGAGCCTATACCGGGACGACACAGAATGCAAATGGAGACTCGATTCTAGCTAATGATGTTGCTGCGCTCTGTATGTCGACCTTTATCTTCCTACTTGCCGAGACAGAGCCAATACGTGCAGCTATATGGGACAAGCACGACCTCCTGCGAAGTTCATGGATTCAGAGCATTATTCTACCTCTAGTAGTGATGTTAACGAAAAAAAAAGGATTTTACAATCTTATATGTGAACAAAATAGAGAAAAGAAGAAGAGCTTGGTGGAAACTGTTAGTTCTTCTTTTCACTGCTTCCCATATCCCACTCCAGAAGATTGTTGTCAGCTGTCCCCAAAAAAGCCATCCATGCACCTACCTAACTCTGAAGAAACGGCAAGGATGCCCGCGTCTCTCGACTCGCGAGCCAGTGATAGTATGACAAGGCAGAATTGCGAAACGCCTCGCAATACCCTCTTCTTCAGGCTGTGGATAAGACCTGCAGAATACGTGTAATCAGAGACACAGCGTACTCGGTGATCTAACCGCGATATGCTAAATAATCAAGGACGGCATCCGGTAGCACTGCAGATAATATTATTGCATCTTAGAAGAAGTAGCTGCATGTAGGGCTGAGGCGCCTGAATGAATACGGGGGAATGGCAGAGTACAGCTGACGCTTGAGCAAAACGGAGCAGTAGACCAAGCATCGTGATGCTGTCGTGGAGGCGCGGGGATGAGAACAAATGGCACCGGAAGGCATACTCATCAACAGACTGCTTCGACTCCGCAAGCGTCTTCATTACACAGCGTACTCAGTAAGCATGAATTGAATCCACTCGTCTCAAGTTTTGATGATAAACGCACTGCCCCGTTGCCTCACCGGTGAGGCAGCCGAAAGGCATCTAAACCGCAACCCTAACCCAGCAGCAGCAGCAGCAGCAGCAGCAGCAGCATCACATCGAATCCCACGGGAAAAATCCATCCGACGAAAAAGCACGCGGCCCGCCGTGAGGCCGCTCGCTATTGCCGTCCTGCTCTAGCGACTCATATGAATAAGCCGCGATATGCCCTCACAAAATCAGCCCTAGAAACGGCCTTGCTTGCTGATGAGACATCGCGAACGCGCCTTTGGATGAATCGGTGACGGCACACCCGCAATGGACATGCCGAAGAGGCGGCGGAGGCCGCCTATCTACCGTGCTGTCACATCTCACGGCCTAGGTGGGTGCCAAACCCGGCCGGCAGCAGATTGCACCGGGCTTTGTGTGCTGCTGGTTGGCCGCCTCGAGACCGGCTTTTTGGGCTTTGGGACTCTGGTGCCTCTGGGCCTGATGCCACTTTAGCTAAGCCACGGCCGAGCGAGTGCAACATCTTGGGCTGTGTTTTGCCGTCTGGGTTGTCGGGAGCATGGTGACGCTTTTGCTTCGTGCAATGTGAAGGCATTTTCTGTCCATGGGACCAGTAAGTAGCAGTATGGCTGGACTGTTGTTTCACATCTCAATGCCACGAAAAGGAGCCGCGAGACGAAGAGTAATTGTCCGTCCCTGGCGAGTTGTGCCCCTGTATCGCGATAGTAGTCACTCTGTAACCTTATACATTGGGTGGCCTTTGGCGTGTGGGGGTTGACGGTTTGCTCGAGAAAAGAAGCCCAACAGAGCACTTACACAGTTGCCGGGTACTGCTTTAATACTTCAGCCCATCTTTGTCCCTACCTTAGTAGTCTGGCATATTTAGTTCCGTCCAATATTGTTGCAAGAACCTCTCCACTTGCAGTTGCAGTAGCAACGCACCGAACTGAAGCCTCGACTGCTCGTCCAGTCAATCGGTAACTGTAGAGATTGACAGACAGGCCAGTTGAGCTCGTGCCCTTTGGCACTCAATAGGGGCGCCCCTCCCGCGGCGCTTCTACCCACCAGCCATGTCAGAGTACGAGCTCGAGTACCTGAGCAGTACCTGGTATTGGTGTACGAGCCGCCTCGACGGCCTCACCCCCAGCCCAGGCTCTCGATATCAACCCACATGCAAAATAGCCTTACCTGCTGGCTGGCCGCGGATCGCCCACCCACCCTTTTCCCTCCCATGCTTCTTCTCCACCATGTATCCCTATGTACAGAGCTAGTGCCCCTATGGCTGACGGCTGGTCTCCATTCGACTTGATGTTAGTAGCGCCTGTGCCCAGTAGGAGAGGGACCTGATGAGGGGCTGCGTCGAGGGACTCCCAAGGAGTATTTTGCATCAGAGGCCGTATTTATTCTCAGCTCAGCCGCTGTACTGTAGCTCCTTCAGCTCTGCCTCGTCCCCGTCGCCCGCTGTCCTTGTCGCTCCTCCTTTCCTTTCCTTTGCCTCTCCTCTCCGGCTGCCTCTTGCCGCTGCTTCTCTGGTTCTTGAAATTGGACAGATCCCTTGGTAGGACAGCTCTCAGGGCGTCTTGCTGGCTTGGACTGTGCTCGAACCGCAACCCTTGGCTTGAATCCCGCTTCTCGTGTTTCCAGATACCCCGCCAGACTTCAGGATGAGTTGTAAGTCGCATGCAATTCCTCACACCGCCGCCAGTGGAAGAGGCGGAGGGCTCGCCCCATGCGCCAGAATGTGCTGTGACGGGCTCTCAGTTATTAGCGGATCGTGGAATGGACAGTTGCTAACGAAGTGCCGTCTCCGTGTGCAGTCGCTGGCATGCTGAACCGCCTCCATGGCCAACCCGAGAGCTATGAGAAAAAGTACGATACCAAGCCTCCGACAGCACCGACATTGGGCTCAACATTAACGGATCGATTATTATAATTACAGATCAAAGTACAGGTTCGGACGAACCCTCGGCGCTGGCACATACGGTGTCGTGCGCGAGGCCGATGGCCCTACCGGCAAGGTGGCCATCAAGATCATCCTGAAGAAGAGCGTCAAGGGCAACGAGCAGATGGTGTACGACGAGCTGAACCTCCTTCAGCGGCTGAAGCATCCTCACATTGTCAAGTTCGTCGACTGGTTTGAGTCGAGAGTACGTTTCCTGCCTTTTTGTGGGCGAACAAGGATAGGCCGAGGCAAAAGAGTTGGGACTAACACTTCTGGCGGGCATATAGGACAAGTTTTACATCGTCACCCAGCTCGCCACTGGTGGTGAGTTGTTCGACCGAATCTGCGACCAGGGAAAATTCACCGAAAAGGACGCCTCTCAGACCATCAAGCAGGTCTTGGACGCCGTGAAATACCTACACCAGAACAATGTTGTTCACCGAGGTGAGTTGGGCAACCCTAACCCCGATGCTGATGCCATCGACGCAGGAGCTGACTGAGCACGCGCGTAGATCTGAAGCCAGAGAACCTCATCTACGTAACACAGGACCCAGACTCCGATTTGGTATTGGCCGATTTTGGTATTGCCAAGACGCTGGACAGCAAAGACGAGACGTTGAAGACAATGGCCGGCTCCTTTGGCTACGCAGCTCCCGAAGTCATGGCCAAGCAGGGCCACGGAAAGCCGGTGGACATGTGGTCTCTCGGTGTCATCACTTACACCCTCCTCTGCGGCTACTCTCCCTTCCGCAGCGAGAACCTCCAGGATCTGCTTGACGAGTGCACCAGGGGGTCCGTCATCTTCCATGAGAGGTATTGGAAAGATGTCAGCGCGGATGCCAAAGACTTCATCAACTGTCTCATCGTTCCCGACCCCAACAGCAGATGGACAGCAGAGGTAAGCTAGGAGCTCTCCACCATCTTACCAATCACGAAAACAACGCTCGCGACAAAGCTCTAACGAATATGCGAAACTACAGCAAGCACTCGGCCACATCTGGCTCAGTGGTAAGAACGCCACCGACCACGACCTGCTGCCCGAACTGCGCAAGGCTCGCGAAGCCCGCGCGAAGCTCAAGCACGCCATCCTGGCCGTCAGCCTCCGGAAACGAATCGCCGCCCTTCAAGACGTCGAATCCGACTCCGACAGCGACGAGATGGCCGCTGCCGAGGAGGCCATTCCCGGACAGCCTCCCGCCAACTCGTCCAAGACGAACGTGCTGCGCGAAAAGGTCAAGGACGGTTCTCTTTTCCGCTCCGTGGCCCTGGCTGCTATCAGAGACCATGCCGCCAAGAAGGAGGCTGAGATCACGGATGAGGATCTGGCCAAGCAAGCCAACAGGAAGAGCTTCAACAGTGAAACTCGACCCTGAGCAGACAAGCATCATTTGTTGGTGTGCTTTACTGTTTTTCTTCCCTCCAGTTTTGCCTGATTTTGTTCAGTTACCTGGTCGGATTCCCCGATGATTGGATATCTGTACCGCTCAGTCATTCGCAACGCAGAAAAAGAGGATAAAAAATGGTTCGAGGATGGGTGACTCTTTTTTTTTTTATGGTCGAGAGCAAGAGAAGGATCTGGGCTTGAATGGGATCAATATCGGTCTGAGATTCGTTCGCGGTCAACAAACAATATTCCCTTAGTTGTGCAGCATTGCCTAGTAACATTTCCTGATAGTATCTACTTTTATATCCTTTTACTATATCAAGAAGCCAAAGGCTGCTTTAGAGAAGTGACTCTTTGTCCTACTTTTGTCTCCAGATTTGTTCAATCTGCAAATCCTTGCCATTTCCCCATGATCGCCGGAACAGCAAGCACATGCAGCCCATTCGCAATGTCTATAGATGCCCCCTTTCGCCTGAGCTCCAAAAGCACTAATATACAGCAAAAGCCAGACAGCCCGAGCGAAACAAGACCATATCCAATCAAACAGTACAAGCAATGCAAAGTCCAATCAATAAATGACAGCAGAACACCGATTTTCTATGCGATAGTACTTTTGTTTCTTCTTTTCTTTTACACTTTTTACACTTGAGTTGTTTAATTTCTTAAACATCTCAATTGATATCGGCCAAGGCACTCTCTCGAAGAGCCTCGTACTTGCGGAAGTCGAACCGCTGTCGCTTCCAGCCGTTGGCCCTCAGCCGCTCGATCCGCGTCTGCAGCTCCAGAGCACGCATTTCCTCGTTCAAGAGAGGCGTAGACTTGGAGTTCTCTGCGGCGGCAATGTCGCGCTCCAACCATTCCAGGTGAGAGGCGATCTGCCGCTGCAGACCCGAAAGCACGGTGCAGTAGTGGTGGACGGAGCGGGCATGGAGAAAGCTGTCCGCAGCTGTGGGAGTATCATAATACTTTTCGTCGTCTTGGACGACGCTGAACTCGGAGTTCGTAGGAGAAGGGAGTGGGAACTGCGACCTCCCGGAGCCGAACCGGAGAGGCTGCGAGTAGAGGGCCGGAGGTTCCGGCGTGGGCACGCGAACGCCCCAGTCGTCGTCGAATCCGAGAGTAGGGGAGTCTGGACGCACGATGGGTTCATAGCTGGACTCGTAGGATGGCTCGGGAGATGGCTCATAAGACGGCACGTCACAGAAAGCGACGCGCTTCTTCGGCTTGGTTCGGCCGTAGGGGCTCTTCAAACAGCTATCCAGAGAGCTGATTGACAGCGAGGGTGATGAGATTCTAGTAGAGACCGTGGAGATTGAGGCGTCTGAGCCTAAAGGAGTGTGCAGGCTAGACGTTGGAGAGAGGGAGCGAGATGAGGGACGTCGCTTAGCGGCTTCATCCTCTCTGCTGAGACGAGCGGCAATGCGATAGTGATCGCGGGCTTGGTAGAGGAGCTTTGAGCGGTACGGAGAGTTTGGTTGGAGCGAGCGGACCTGCATTTCGAGTGCAGAAGCTGCGTAAAAGCGAATGTAGATGAGGCATGCTGTCTCCGGCTTGTTCTATGGTTTGTTTGTTAGTTGACTTGTAACAGAGACTACATGCTCCGCGATATATCTTACCGAGTCGTTGATACCCTCAAGAAATTCGTGGCATCGAACGGAACATTGACGGTATTTTCGGTTGACAAAATCTCTCTTAACATCGCCCAACGCCCTCTTCCATTGCTCAGGTGTCGAAGGGATCGGTTTAGGGGCGATGATAGGCGCGGGAATTGTTCGCTCTCGCGCTGTTCGCCTAGGCACCTCGTTTGTTCGCGGTCCGGATGGCGTCGGTCCCCAAGAGGTATGGCTAGGTGTGTAACTGGATTTCTCTTCCGAGGTAGTGAATGTGATTTTTGAAGCTGGAATGAGCGTGCTCATGCGAAGGGGGATGAGGCCCGGCATCTTGTGATTGAGTTTCGAAGGCTGATTAAGGTAGGCCCGACTTGTAGAAGGAAAACGTCGCCACGTCGGATATCCAAGAGAATGTCGAAAGTTGGTTGTGATGCTCCGTTCGTGGGATTGTGTCGTTGTAGAAGCGTCGTCGAGATAGGGGAAACGAGTAGGTAGGTACCCGAGGCGTGTTGGTATTCCTTACACAGATTGGATATAAACCGAAGACTTAGGAGAGGAGGCAGAGAGCGTGGCGTGAATCAAGAGTAGTATGTATTCACGGAAAAGAAAAACCACTCGAGTCGGCGCGAGTGATTAAGGGAATTCGTGATATATCAAGAGGCAGGAAAGGGAAGAAATGAGTGGCACAATGCAAGACAGCAGAGATGGAAAGCGGGCAGAAACGCGATTTCGAAAAAAACCGGTCCGTCAAGGGAGGGAGAGACTGGAGACGGGACTCTTTAAGAAGGAGTGGTTTGCACAATGATTGTGTAACTGGCGATAACAGTCGAGTACGTGACGAAGGGAGGAAAAAAGAAAAAACAAGAGAGGAAGAAGCTCGGGCTCAACTGAGACTGGCAGATGCAACACAGAGACCTGCCGGCATCCCGGGGTCCCTCAGAGGGTTCAGCGACCCGCCACCTCGGGAAGATGATATTTCTTTCTTCTTGTTCCTTTTTCCTGCTTATTTTGTCCTGTGTCTTGGCCTCTCTTCCTTCCAATTGGCGCAGCATCGATGTTCCCCGCTAGAGGTCCATGTTGTGCCCTCTTGATGCTGTTGCGCCGAGTGTTTGCTGTGCGGTTGTTGATGCCGCGGTCTTCTTGCTCCCACTACACCGTCACAGCACCGTCACAATAGAGACCCAGGAGCCTGGTGAGAACCCCGTTCGAGAGGCGCCAGTGGGAGCAGATGCGCGGCCCAGGTTGTACTGCTAAGGTTAGCACCCGGACGCTCCCCTGGTCGAGTTCCCCCTATCCCCCTTGCACGCTCACCTTGCCAGCATAATCTGATGCCAGCCTGCTGCGGTAGCCGTACCGGTTGGCCGTTCTGGCAGGCTACTGGGCGCCACGCTAACGGACCCCTGCCCCTGATCCCGCTTCCCCGGGCCCTTGCTTGCGAGGAATTGTGGCTCCTGCGGGAATGAGCTGCTGCGGTGAAATGATGAAATATTGGAAAAGGAAACGAAGCCTGCTGCCGACCGTGATGAGGCTGCTGTTCGCTTGGATATCATTTCACAGTTGAGTCAGTGCATTGAAGCTGAGAGGTAGTGGTAGGTTGCGATAGTAGCAGTTAATTTTGGAAGTCGAAGTCCCGTGACAAACGTGGCATGCACCTGCGAAATCGAACTGTGCAGGCGTGCTCGCGCTCGTGCCTTCTGGGATTGGAATCGAGCAAGCGATTTTGTGCAGGTACAATGGAGCCCTGCGTCAGAACCAAGGCAGGAACAGCTTGACTGCCGCGCTAATCCCCAACGGCGCAGCACTGATGAAACAGACAATCCCACACTGAAGCAGCAGGAACGACCAAGCCGTGTCTCTCGCTTTTTGGCAGTTTTTGTGGAATGCGCGCGTATGCACGGAAAAGTCATCGGGTCACGCTTCTGTCCCTCCATCGTCGTGCATGTTCTTCGTCCTTCATACTGACTTTCGCAAACATTCCATCCCGAACCCCAGCTCGCAAGAACACACTAAACTGGACAGACGCCCATGATACGATTTCAACAGCAAACAGACCCGAACAAAGGCCCAACGTGTCCGCCCACAGACTCGCCGTTTTGACGTCCAACTGCTTGCGGCCAAGCCAAACGTCAACGGGCGACTAGAAGAATAGAAAAGGCGCGGAAGCCAGAGACCCGTCCGTGGATCGCGTCCCAAAAGTCACCGGCCGCCGGATCCCTGCACCTCAAGAGCCGAGAACTTGGAGGTGCCACTTGGTCAGGCAAATCAGGTACTCGTGAGACAAGGGAGCTTGAAAAATACGCCACCAGTCTTTCTTTTTCGCGTTTCTTGCCTGTGCGAGTATCGTTTACAGCTCGTACGAAATCTTCCATACACTGCCTTCCGAGCCACGGCCTGTCCGAGAGTCAGGCCTCCTAAGATCCGTATTACGAATGGCTTCCATTGCCTAGAAAGCCATGCTCGTCAGTCATTCGATTCTGTTCGCTCTTTGGTCCCTATTGGAATGTTGAGTTGCTGCAGCATGGCCGTCTGTGCTTCCTCTCGCGTTTGGTGAGCACGGTGTTGTGCTTCGTATTCATCTTACTATCAGGTGTCGACTTCCGGGGCTCCAGACGACTACTGCATTTGTTACGAAGAAGTCCTTTGGCTCGGTGTCACCGTATACAAGCGGTAGGCCTTTTCAAATTTTCCACTTCTGCGCAACCATCGTCCCACCAACAACGATGTGTTTACATTAATCATTACTCTCGGGACGGCAGATGAGATGCTTGTACTACGTGCAAAACTCGACTCCCCACCGGTGCTCATTAGCACCTCACAGCATTGGGATCAGCACTTATCGTGATGAACCACATCTGCGGAGACCCCAAGATTTTTCTTGCTCCGTCCAAGATTAAACGCTGGTAAAACGTGGCGTTGAAGTGGGATCAATCACGAAACAGGCCTCGGGGTTATTGTCCGTCGAGAGCTTGTTAGATTACAATCTGTCATGCTTCGTTACTTGGGTGCCCTGTGCCGCCAGATGATTGAGCCCGCACATGCAATGCATCACCTTGCAGGGGAACTTCTCGACTGCATGCATTGCCTGTTCGTACTACTCGTGCCGTAGCATCGAGGCACGGTGATGGTGATTTGGTCACAGCATGAGTCCATGTGATGGCATGCACCCACTGAGCTGCAGACATACTACTACTACTACATGTACGAAGGAGCCAATGCTCATCTGTCTCTGTGTCCGTCCTGCTTTCTGGCAGATCATACTCCACCTCTGGGAAGAGCCACAGTTGCACTGCTGCTTCTCTACCTTGCTTGTAAGCCGTCATCTGCGAGATAGCATGCTGAGATGCTCTTTTCCTATCGACCAACTGCAGATCGAGGATCATGTTGGATCGGATTCAATCGTATCTCTCCAACGAAGGTAAATACGTTACATAACATGGCCAACTAAATGGGCAACCAACAGCACTGTAGATGGAAAACAAGCCGATCGGATACTAGATTGGTTCTTTGTTCGTCTTCCATCCCCGTTTACACCACGGAAAATCCTACATAGGTCGGCCCTGTCGGTATAATCTCTCACGTCGATTCGAGTCGGTAGGCAGCGAGAAACATCTGTTGCCGAAGATATCACCTCAATTGCCGTGTCGACATCAAGAACGCTATGATAGACTACATACAAACACCAAGCGTCCGACAATCCCTCGATACCATCTTAAATCCGGTCCTGCGGCCGACGTGATCCCGTACGAAGAACAAGCAAGGCATCTTGTTCCCTGCCAGGCCCCCTGCAACGATCCTCACCTTGCAGCACTCCACATTATGCCGTCTAGATTTATTGGCCAAATTGCGGCGTTGCACGCGGCCAGCCTTTTTAATTCATCTTGGTCAAGATCATCTATGAAGCCGGGGTCTCGGTAGCATCCGTCGCTGGGGTTTCTTCCGCCTTGGGAGCCTCCACCACCTCCGCTGCCTTAGCCGCCTGCTCGCCCTTGACACCGCCCACAACCTTGAGGCCCTCGGCCTGTATCGTGATGCTCTCCAGCTCTCGCTTGCGCTGTATCCGGTACTTGAGCTCGTCCGCCATGCGCGTCATGTCCACCAACACGCCCTCCTTCTCGGGGTGTCCATCCTTGAGGCCCATCTCCTTGATCTTGACTTTGCCCTGAGCCAACTCATCTTCACCGATGAAGATGGCAAAAGGAACGCTGTTGACCTCGGCAGCCTTGAACTGAGCCTGCATCTTTGGCTTCGTCTTGTAAAGGAACTCCGCCTGTAGACCTTTTGTTAGCCTCGGTCAAGTGTCACTGATGAACAGAGGAAATCTCACCTTGATGCCAGCGTTCCACAGCTTTGAGCAAATCTCCAGGCGCTCCTTGACCAGTCCCTTTCCTCCAAAAGCCATAACATAGACATCGACCTCGTTGCCTCGCACCTGGTCGACTGACTTGTCCGCTGCCATGCGGGCCTTGGTGATGGAGAAGATACGGTCGACGCCGAATGAGATGCCGACGCAGGGAATCTGGTTCTTGCCAGAGAACATGCCAACGAGGTTGTCGTATCGACCGCCAGCGGCCACACTTCCAACACCGATGGTGGGGTCATCAGACCGGTCCTCGTCGTCTCCTTTGCCCTTGGACTTCTTCTTGGATGCTTTTGCGGCATCCTCCGATCCAGGAGTTGCCTCGGGGGCAGAGCCCTCGGTAACGACTTCGTAGATGAGTCCGGTGTAGTAGTCCAAGCCGCGAGCCAGGCCAAGATCAAACGAAACCCTGTCCAGAGCATCAAAGGCCTCGAGATACTCGAAAAGGAGAGCAACATCCTCAATGCCTTGCTTCATGGACTCGTTTGCCGACAGCTTCTCATCGTTGCGCAGCTTGTCGAGCAAATCGTGGCGTCCCCTCAGAACAACCCACTCTCCAATGCGGTCTGCGACATCCTCGGCGAGACCCTTCTCCTCGGTCATCTCTTTCCTGACGTCCGCCCATGGCAGCTTGTCGAGCTTGTCAACTGCGGAGGAGATGGTTCTGATCTTGTCCTCGGGGACACCGCAAACCTGGAAGATACCGTCGAGGATTTTGCGGTGGTTGAGCTTGATAGTGTAAGCGCCGTTCCAGCCCAGACCCTCAAAGACTTCCGTGATGATGCGGATGACTTCGGCGTCGGGCAACATGGCATCGTAGTTGCCGGCAATGTCGAAATCGCACTGGTAAAACTCTCGCATCCTGCCCTTGGTCATGGCAGGCTGGTCTCGGCGGTAGACCTTGGCGATGTGGTAGCGCTTGATGTTCTGGATGTCCTTGTTCATCGCCAGGAAACGGGCGAAGGGGACCGTCAGGTCG